GCGAACCCGAGAGCCGGGGCGCTGCGTGGATCGCGGTGCCGGCTCTGCCTGGCGTTGCCGCGGTGTGACGTGGGTCGGGGGGAGTGGGCGCGTAATTAGGCCGTGAAATCTCGCCGGGTGTGCGTGCGCGCGCGTGAACTTCAGGAGCGGCTGGGTGGCTCACGAGAGCCGTTGATGACCGCTTCAGCCGGTGCTGCTGGGTTTGGATCGGGGCTACAGCCGCCCCTGATTAATAACCCCCCCCCCCCCTGGGGTTCCTCAATGCAGCGAGGAGTTGGTGCAGTCAGTCCGGTCGTCAATGACTGAACTTAAGAAATAGAAAAAAAAATGAATTTAAACGCCTTTCATGTAAACACATTCCATGGCTGCAAAACACGATTAAGGCTGCACAGAATTATGGGAAACACCCACAATTCCATGCAGGCGTGGTTTTACACCACACATTTATTGAGCACAGCGCCAAGTTGCTGTTTTCGCTTTGCGAAAAAACGCAGCGCGCCGTTTGGATGCTAGCTTTCCAGTGGATTGCCATAGCCACGTCTGGCTCGTCGAGCCAGGAGACCATCGCTGGCACCATGGCCCCCTCCAATGGACGGCGTCAGTGCCACGGAACGACTCCGCCCCCCCCCTCCGCCGAGTCGACGCGGTCCGCCGCTCTCGCCCACGGCCGGAGGGGCGCTCCCCCCGCGCCCCCGCCTCCCCCATTCTGTGACGAAGTTTCGATCGTCTCCCGCTCGTCAGTGACTTCGATATTTAAGGCTTCGTGAATCCGGGATCGGGAGAGTATTTAATGTATACTGGTGGAATCCGATGAGCTGTAAAGCTCTTTTTCACAGATGTCCAGTTGGGGCGGGTCAGAACGTTACAACAGCATACAGAAAACAAAAACACGATAGGAGTGCAACGTCCAGGAAAGCTAAGTAAATTACATTTTGATTTGAAGCTTTCGTGATTGCAGGGATTCATATTCTTGGTTCTTTCGGTAAAGTCACGTAGAAGGGAAACAATAAAATTTTTAAAAATATAAAACAATAAAATTCTCACGACGTTTCGACTGCAACACAAGCAATCATCATCAGGTGTGAAAACCACAACAAGAAAATTTGAAAAAAGTGGCGGTTTTTTAACGTTAGCAACACGGATAGCGATTTGACAGTTTGTTTAGATGGACGAGTCCATTTATGTTCGGAAAAGAGGAGGGGCGAGACGAAAATAATGGATGCGGTCTGAAAGCCACCGTAAGCGTGAACAATCAATTAAGACCCGAAATGGTTTATCAAATCCTTCCAATGATTGCTAAGCCAGAATCCATCTTCTCGGTTGAAATTGTCTCTGTGTTTGTATATTTGGATAGCCTCATGAACGAATCTCTCATGGTAGCCAGATGGCTTGCAAAGAACCTCTGTCTTGGAGAAGTCTATGTCATGTGAGCCTACTGAATTATAACAGTGATCTGCCACGGCCGAGGTGTTGGTCCTACCGTGTTTTAGGTCTGCTTTGTGTTCACGAATGCCGTCCGAGACATGTCGTTTGGTTTCTCCAATGTAACTACTACCACAGAGGCAACTTAGTTTGTAGACGCTGGGTACTGTATGTCCGGAATCACATCTTTTACAGACGGAACCAGATCACGGATTTTATGTAATGTGTTGAATCGGACCTGGATCTTGTGTTTATTCAAGATTTTGGAGATCTTTTTTGTGATCTCCGCAATGTAGGGTAAAGTGATGGTTTTGAAAGGCTCCTCAAGAGGGTCCTTCTTCATGGTTTGAGTGATAGCTTTGCGGATTGTGTAGTCGGAGTAACCATTAGCCTTAAGAGCTTGGTGTACGTGCTGAGTTCACTGGCTATGTGTTCCTGGTCGGATATGCATTGGGCTCTATGGTGCAGAGTCTTGATGAGGGAATTCTTCTGGGATGGATGGTGGTTGTTTCCCTTCTACGTGACTTTACCGAAAGAACCAAGAATACTAAGTAAATTACTTTAAAATATACAAATACAACTAAATTATTTGTTTTCTTGCCAGGTGAAGCTCACCAAGCTCTTGACTTATTTTTTAGAAGCGACCTGGCCACAAATGATAGCTTCACGTGGAAATGTATAGCATCAAAATGATCAAACAAAAATCTCAATGGATGTTTCTAATTGTGGAAGGAAAAACCGGAGCGCTGAGATATTTCTCGATTAATTATTTTACAAATGATATTTTTTATCGCGGCTTCTTGAGATGGAGAATCCATTCGGAAATCTCCCACTGCGGTTCGTCCGTTTGTCACAAGGCTGTCTTGGAAGAGAGTCTTCAGAGAAATTATTTAAAAAATCCTTCAGGTGGCATGTATGTACTTCTTCTGCACCGTATATAGCCAACCGTGCTAATCGGAGGTATGGGCAAAGGACAAGAAACTAAACACAAAAAGCATTTTGAAAGGAATGAGTTTTCAATCTAGATGCTTTAAAAGTGCATAGCTGCGGTGGCTTCCTAATAGCTGTGAGACCGTCTTTGTTCGATGGCTATCCAAGGATGAACGCAGTGCGTTAATCCTATCCGCGACCGCTGCACCCGCTGTGCGCTAATGAGAGGTGCGAGCCCTGGCTAAACGAAATCGGCTTGTTGTCGGGAGCATTTCACCCACAATCGCGAGGACCGAGAGTTCACGTGCCGATCGGTGGTCGACTCGGCCAGGCATCGTCACCACCACTGGCAGGGCGAGCACGAGTTCAGCCGCACCACCTTGCCGGAAAGTCGACGGTGGTTGCCCCACGGAAGGACTTGCTCCCGCCGTCCGAATGCGGAGTCTTGACCGCGGGGCTCGGGGCCGTCGCCGGTGACGAACTCCGCGGGGCGAGGCCGTGGATACCCCGTCGGACGCGCAGCGTTGCGCAACGCTGCGCGGAGCCCTCGCTGCGAGGGCTCCATCGCCGTCACGTGACCGCGATGGAGCCCTCGCTGCGACGGCTCCATCGCCGTCACGTGACGGCGACGACGACGCAACCTGGAGGGAAATTATTCGTGCAGCTGTCATCGTCCGGCGTGCGCGCTGCTTCGCACGCCGGACGCAACTCCGCGGCTGCCTCACACCGTAGCGTGTGCGTGCGTCAGGGGCTGAGAGAGGGACAGGGAGAGAGACAGAGAGACACCATGGTGTGTGTGTGCATGAGGGGCGGAGAGAGGGACAGGGAGAGAGACAGAGAGACACCATGGTGTGTGTGTGCGTCAGGGGCGGAGAGAGGGACAGGGAGAGAGGGACAGGGAGAGAGACAGAGAGACACCATGGTGTGTGCGTGCGTCAGGGGCGGAGAGAGGGACAGGGAGAGAGACAGAGAGACACGGAGAGAGACAGAGAGAGAGACAAAGAGAGAAAGGGACAGAGAGACACCGTGGTGTTTGCGCGTGTGAGAGAGATGCACAGAGGCATGGAGAGAGACTGACAGACAAACAGAGATAGAGAGACAGAGAGACAGCCAGAGGCAAAGAAAGACAGATACTGTATAGAAATGGATGCAGAGACAGACAGTAAATACGAGACAGACACAGAGCGATCGATAGACGAACAGAGAGAAAGAGAGTTGAAGACAGAGTGGCAGAACAGGGAGGCAGAGAGACGCATACGTGGAGAACGAGACACACACAGATTAAGAGACGGATAAAGAGATTGAGAGACAGTCTGACAGAGAGACAGAAAAACTAAGATGTTATCAGACGAGTTGACACCCACGTTGCATTGCGGCTGAGAGACACACAGATCTAGATGGGACAGAGAGAGACTGAGAGAGAGAGAGAGACTGAGACAGACACACACAGAGGGACTGAGATAAAGAGCCTGAGAGAGACACAGAAACAAAGACTGAGAGAGAGACAGACAGAGAGACACACAGAGAGACTTGAGAGAGACACAGAGAGACTGAGAGAGAGAGACAGACAGAGAGACTGAGAGAGAGAGACAGAGAGCCTGAGAGAGACGCACAGAAGGAGGCACAGATAGATACTGAGACAGAGACACAGAGAGAGCCTGAGAGAGAGACACGCAGAGACAGACAGAGACTGAGAGAGAGAGACAGACAGAGAGCCTGAGAGAGACGCACAGAAGGAGGCACAGATAGATACTGAGACAGACACAGAGAGAGCCTGAGAGAGAGACACGCAGAGACAGACAGACAGACAGAGAGACACACAGAGAGACTGAGAGAGAGAGACAGACAGAGAGCCTGAGAGAGACGCACCGAAGGAGGCACAGAGATACTGAGACAGAGACACACAGAGAGAGACTTAGAGAGAGACACACAGAGAGAGCCTGAGACAGAGAGACTGAGACAGAGACACACAAAGAGAGACTGAGAGAGAGAGACACAGAGAGAGACTGAGAGAGAGACACAGAAGGAGGCACAGAGAGATACTGAGACAGAGACACAGAGAGAGAGAGACTGAGAGAGAGACACACGGAGAGAGAGACTGAGAGAGAGACTGAGAGAGAGAGAGAGACTGAGAGACAGAGAGCCTGAGAGAGACTGAGAGAGAGACAGAGAGAGAGAGCCTGAGACAGAGACACACAGAGAGAGCCTGAGACAGAGACACACACAGAGAGAGCCTGAGACAGAGACACAGAGAGAGAGCCTGAGACAGAGACACACACAGAGAGAGCCTGAGACAGAGACACAGAGAGAGAGCCTGAGACAGACACACAGAGAGAGACTGAGAGAAAGACAGAGAGAGCCTGAGACAGAGACACAGAGAGAGAGCCTGAGACAGAGACACACACAGAGGGAGCCTGAGACAGACACAGAGAGAGAGCCTGAGACAGACACAGAGAGAGACTGAGAGAGAGACAGAGAGAGCCTGAGACAGAGACACAGAGAGAGAGCCTGAGACAGAGACACAGAGAGAGAGAGCCTGAGACAGACACACAGAGAGAGAGAGAGCCTGAGACAGACACAGAGAGAGACTGAGAGACACAGAGAGAGAGCCTGAGACAGAGACACACAGAGAGAGAGCCTGAGACAGACACACAGAGAGAGAGAGACGGAACCACAGAGAGAGTCACACACAGAGAGACAGAGGCACGGAGATGCGTGGGGTTGGGCCGCTTGGAATTCACACAAAAAAACCCCCCACACAAACACGACGCATTCCACTTTTTAAGCATCGCAGCGTTCCGCGACCTTTAAACCCTTCGGCGCGCACGCGGCAGTGAGCGCCGCCACAGTCGGCACCGCGAGACCAGGGGGAGCGCAGCGCACGCTCGCGCGTCTTGAACCGCGGCTCCCCTCCTCCCCGTCGTCCGTCGTTTCTCGTGCCGCTCCAACTCGAACCCCCGCCGCCGCTCACACCGGATTGTCGCGCGTTCCGAGCTGCCGTCGGAGACGCCGCTTTCCGTGAAAAACAAAAAATTTGGCTGCCGGATACCGGACCTACGGTGGTGGTGGTGGTGGCAACGGCCCTCGACCGTTTTCCGAGATTATTAATAATTTTATTAGATTATTTTAAAATTCGTAGTCCCGTTCTGCGGCGGCCGTGGACAACTCGAGAGCACTCCCCGCCACCCGGGAGAGGAGGAGGAGTGAGCGGCCCAGCTCGTCGACGCGCTCCACACGCGAGCTTCCGACGCGGGAGCCTCCGGCCATGGAGAGATACTGGTCCTTCTCCTCGCACTATGGTGAGGGCACTTTAATTCGTCGCTCTGCCAGTGTCTGTGCGTGTGTCAGGGGGCGGGAGTGGTCGCGCAGTCGTTCAGCGAGCACAGCGCTACGATCGCGTCAGGGCGCCGCGGTGGCTGGGAGATGTTTACTCCCTCGCCTGCTGTGCAGGAGGTCGTGGATTCGATCCCGACCCCGACGCCTGCTGCTGCTGTATATTTGGCGTCTGCATGTTCTCTCTCTCTCTCTGGCTCTTCCCGTAGTCGCGTGGATTTTTCTCCGGTCCTCCGGTTTTTCCCCTCCACATTTAGACATCGCACGTTTTAGAGTATTAGGTCGCGATAAATTTCCACACGATGACAAGCCACTTAGTTGAACGATCAATTGTGGCCATGTTCCTTCTAGAAAAAATAGCTCTGTAGCTCAGTGGGGCCTCCTTACCCTGGTACAATAACAAAAATTGTTTAGTTGAATCATTTCAATGGTTAATCCTGGGTTCAATTCCCACCCGTGTGACTATCCCCGTCTTGCGAGTGATACGTGAACTATTCCCCGGAGCCTTCCGCCAGTTGACTCTGCCTGCAGTGAGAACAGCGGACGTTCCGTTGCAGCGTGTGTACACAATCGGCGCAACGCCTTTACCATTAATTAGGTGCCTTCTAACAAAAACGGAATTGCATGTGCAGCACATCGGTCTGGATGGGGTACTAGTCTCATCCCCGGTTACTGACCCGGGCCGACGGATGCTCATGAACGGCGCGAACCCGTGGCAGTCTGCCGAGGCTCGCATAGTACTTTGTTGTCTGTGCATGTATAACGTGTGCTTATATTCAGCGTCTAGCGCCGTACTATGTTTCGATTTAAAGCTTTCGTGACTGCAAGGATTCATCTTCTTTGGTTCTTTCGGTAAAGTCACCACGTAGAATGAGAACAAAATAATAAATTGATACAATAAAATTCTCACGACGTTTCGGCCACAACACAAGCGGCCTTCAGTACTTTGTTGTCTGTGCATGTATAACGTGTGCTTATATTCAGCGTCTAGCGTAGTACTTTGCGTTGTGATATTGACAGAAATTGGCGATGCTTTTACGCCGCGCTCACGGTTCGATCCGCCCCACGCGCCAACCGGGCCACCTCTGACGCGGGTTAAAACGGGCGGTCGCTTTTTATCTTTATTGTCGCAGCCGCTTTTTCGTGGCTCGTGGGGGTATGGAGACGCTCCGGGTTTAACGCTTTTCTCATTCCGTTTTCACCACGAGCCTCTGGCACGCAACAAGCACTTGAGTTGAGTGTTTACATTGACACTGAGGTCATCGACAACAGTGGTGGAAGTTTGCTTCCGTGCATTTTAAAAATAATTATTAAGAAATGGATTTCAGGCGCTGAGCTCGTCTGAAACGCTTCTTCCTTCTGATATAACGAAGCCACTGCACTTTGAAATCATCTATAGATTGACAAACTCATTTCTTTACAACCGCTTTTTGTGTTTAGTTTGTTGTACCCCCACCCCCCCCCCCCGTACCTCCGATGAGCGCGGTTGGCTACGTACGGTGCGAAGGAAGTTCAACATACATAGACTCATACAGAGACCCATAGACTAACACAGAAACCCATAGACTCACACAGAGACTGATAGACTCACACAGAGACCCATAGACTCACACAGAGACCCATAGACTAACACAGAGACCCATAGAATAACACAGAGACCCAAAGACTCACACAGAGACCCATAGACTCACACAGAGACCCATAGACTAACACAGAGACCCATAGACTAACACAGAGACCCAAAGACTCACACAGAGACCCATAGACTCACACAGAGACCCATAGACTAACACAGAGACCCATAGACTCACAGAGACCCATAAACTTACACAGAGACCCACAGATTTACAGAGACCCATAGACTCACACAGAGACCCATAGACTCACAGAGACCCATAGACTCACACAGAGACCCATAGACTAACACAGAGACCCATAGACTAACACAGAGACCCATAAACTCACACAGAGACCCATAGTTTGTTGTCCTTCCCCCGCACCTCCGATTAGCACGGTTGGCTACGTATGGTGTGAAAAAAGTCCAACATCTATGCATACGTATACGGAAAAAACACAAGTAGATGAGAGTCTGGATCGAAGCACGCACTCGCTTGGGAACGTGGCCAGCTGTGCTTTTATCAGAACTCATGTGCCTGTATCAGAAGCGGCCTTTTGCCTTCACCCTACCGATGTCTTGTAAGCATGTGTTGCCTTAATCAGAACTGTGCTTATGTGGACAATAATATGGTAACATGAGTCTCCCAAATATTCTCCGCTCTGTCTCTCTGGCCTCTCTGCGTGTGTGCTGCTACGATTGGTCATGGCTCAATATTATAATGATTTCCTTCGAAGGCCACATGGTCATATTTACTTTGTTTTCGTTATTTGTGCATATATAAGGTGTGCTTATATCCAGCGTCAAGCGTAGTACATTCCGTTGCGATATTGTTAGAAATGGGCCAGTGTCTCTGGTCGCAGAGTTAAACTCGGAGTCGGGTTGTCGCGAGTTCAATCCCTGGTCAAGAGTTGAACAGCTCATTATCATCATCATCACACCTCTGGGGTTAGAAGATTATTTTTCTCGCGAACGATGGCAATGTGATTCAGTATCTAAATGCCGATGTCGAGGTCTGCTCGCTACCACGGGAGGACTTCAGGAGTGAGTTTGTGTCGCTTTGCTATTCCTCCCGCGGTCTGCATCGTCGCAATCGCACTGCTGTGGCCCGTGCCTTTAAAACTTCCATTGGCGAAGGAGATGTTCGCGTCGGCCTGTTGACGACGCTCCGATGACGTGGACGGTCACACGAGCGGAGGCATTTACTCTGGGGCCGTCCGCCGTGGGCTCCGTGGACTCCGCTGGGCGGGAGACGGCAGCCCCCCTCTCGCGATGAGCCCTCACCACGTCACCTTGAGCGCTGCCGCTGCGTCGGCGAAGTGGACGTCGCGATCTCGAGCCGAGCCACGGCCGGGGGGATGAAGCTGCGGAGCGGTGTTCGGCGGCGGCCTCGCGCGCTAACGGAGCGTCGCAGGACAGTCCCCCTCGGCTACGCGTTTCAAATCGCGGAGCGGCATCGGATGAAATCTCTCGACGGACGTGTTTGCGTACGTACGTACTCACGCACGCGGAGCGCGTTCAATTTCTTTCTCACCGCACGTAAGCCAACCGTGCTAATCGGAGAGGTGCGGGGGACAACAGCTGGCGTGCACACGTGGCCGTAGCGGAGGCAGTCAACTTGGTCCGGGTGTAAATATTCAAACTGCTGATCGGCTTAAATTTAGCCGCCACGCAAGAACGACACGGGTACCACGTGGCGGGACGGCGATCGTGCCGCGGGCTAGGCAGCGTGGAACTTCCCGCCACTCGTGTTGAGTGTTTGTAGCCGGGGCGAAGGCAACATGTTGTGGGTGTCTCTCTTGGCCACAAAATACTGGGGTGGGTGGGGTGAGGGTGCCCGGACCCCCACGACACCCCCCCAACGGCCACGTCCCCTCCCTCCCTGGCCGTGGTGCTGCGGGCGGCGACTGCTCCGTGGAGAGAAGCTCGCCGAGTGACCCCCCCCCCACCCTCCCCCCGTGGGTGCGGGTTACTGGGGGGGGGGGGGGGGGCGGCAGCAGCGACTCGTGTGGGCAGTTTGGGACAACGCTGCAGGCTGCAGCGCGTGGTGGTGGTGGTGGCGACGCGCTGCAGCTCCCCGGGGACCCACCGGAGCGCTTGGGCCGCGTCGCGCGATGCAGCCAGCGCCGTCTCGGGGCAGGAGAGCCGAAACGAGTTGTTACTAGCGGAACAACTTACTAGCGGAACGAGTTGTTACTAGCGGAACGACTTACTAGCGGAACGAGTTGTTACTAGCGGAACAACTTACTAGCGGAACGAGTTGTTACTAGCGGAACAACTTGCTAGCGGAACAACTTACTAGCAGAACGAGTTGTTACTAGCGGAATGAGTTGTTACTAGCGGAACAACTTACTAGCGGAACGAGTTGTTACTAGCGGAACAACTTACTAGCGGAACGAGTTGTTACTAGCGGAACAACTTACTAGCGGAACGAGTTGTTACTAGCGGAACGACTTACTAGCGGAACGAGTTGTTACTAGCGGAACAACTTGCTAGCGGAACAACTTACTAGCAGAACGAGTTGTTACTAGCTGAATGAGTTGTTACTAGCGGAACAACTTACTAGCGGAACGAGTTGTTACTAGCGGAACAACTTACTAGCGGAACGAGTTGTTACTAGCGGAACGACTTACTAGCGGAACGAGTTGTTACTAGCGGAACAACTTGCTAGCGGAACAACTTACTAGCAGAACGAGTTGTTACTAGCGGAATGAGTTGTTACTAGCGGAACAACTTACTAGCGGAACGAGTTGTTACTAGCGGAACAACTTACTAGCGGAACGAGTTGTTACTAGCGGAACAACTTACTAGCGGAACGAGTTGTTACTAGCGGAACAACTTACTAGCGGAACGAGTTGTTACTAGCGGAACAACTTACTAGCGGAACAACTTACTAGCAGAACGAGTTGTTACTAGCGGAATGAGTTGTTACTAGCGGAACAACTTACTAGCGGAACGAGTTGTTACTAGCGGAACAACTTACTAGCGGAACGAGTTGTTACTAGCGGAACAACTTACTAGCGGAACGAGTTGTTACTAGCGGAACAACTTGCTAGCGGAACAACTTACTAGCAGAACGAGTTGTTACTAGCGGAATGAGTTGTTACTAGCGGAATGAGTTGTTACTAGCGGAATGAGTTGTTACTAGCGGAACGAGTTGTTACTAGCGGAACAACTTACTAGCGGAATGAGTTGTTACTAGCGGAACGAGTTGTTACTAGCGGAACAACTTACTAGCGGAATGAGTTGTTACTAGCGGAACGAGTTGTTACTAGCGGAACGACTTACTAGCGGAACGAGTTGTTACTAGCGGAACGAGTTGTTACTAGCGGAACGACTTACTAGCGGAAC